CCATCTGGTTTAAAGCGTAAATAAATAAATAATCGTTTCCAATTACAATGAATAACTTTAAGGAAATAATTATCGTGATTAAACGGAATAAGTTGATTGAATTTCCGCTGTCACGTTTTTCTTTTTTTAATTCAGCAGCATTGCGTGCATATAATCGTTTTTGATTTAAATGCATAGAAAAGCTAGTCGACCGTTCATTAGTTTTCGAATCAAGCGGCGCATCGGCGTGGGAAAAGTGTCGCTCGGAAATTGTCCTCCGAAAATCGGTCAGTCGACACAGAAATGGCCAGGGAATGCGCGATCGATCGATAAATTATTCTCTGGAATTGTGGGTCGGGAACGATTCGCAGCTAAGGACTCGTCGGGCGGCGTGTCACCGCATCACGCCCCTCGGTGTCGACACATCGATGCAATTAGAGGAGGACTCTCGGTCCAGTTACTCGTCGACGGTGAAATGTTTCGGTCAAATTCTCCGGAGAAATGCGAGTTAAAAGCGCCGACGATTCGTCGTTGATGTGCAAATTTGAAGCGGCGATTCGGGACGCTGGTTTCCGAAACCGTTTCGATAGAAATTCAAGCACGGCCCTTCCTTCTCGCCGCTGAAAAAATTGCTCGACCACGTGGAAGCCGTTTGTTCGCGAAAGTTTAATAAACATTATTCGAACGACCGCCGTTTCATTCGCGACGATATTTCTCTTCCTCGAATCGTATCTATTTGAAAATATAGAATAATAATCCTGGACCTTTGTTATTCCTGTAATAAATCTTTTCCTCTCTTTTGCGCATTACTTTCCGTCCCGAGATCCATGTTCAACTGTAACGCATAAATAAAATATTTGTCGAGTGACAAATCATTCTTTCCCTTTTGTGCAATATTTCTCTTCCTACGAATACATCTATATGTCGAAATGTACACGGCAAAAGGATAATTCTTTCTTTTTTCCCACGGCAAATCTCGTTCTCTATTTTGCAGAATTGTTTTCTTCTGACAAATGTACCGATTTTCCAATGTATGCAACGGAGACTAATTTTCCGGGGAACGTGTTTCGATTAAGAGCATTCGACCGAGATCCCGATGTAAAGGAATGAGAAATATATTGCGAAAATTACTCACGCTAATGCATAATGTTCTGGATAGGTGTACTTCATGCTGAAGTGCGACAATTTATAGCAGCTAGACATTAGTGATTTATTATAACGAGACAATGTAGACGAACACCGGGAGACTGCTCTCTGCCAATTTATTCGTCGAAATTGGCGAGCGTTTCGTGCTTGAATGATTCCGTGGTCATTTCGCGAGCGGCACAAAAGGTAGAAAATAAAACCGCCGGTCGGCGCTCACAGACGTTCATATGAGTTTTCGAAATAATTTTAGTGCGGCCGGGTCACGTGTCCGCCTGAGCGTTTTACTTCCGCAGGTTGTGCTCGAGAGTAGAATTTTCTGGTTGACAGACCTAAAAGCAACTCTCCAACAGCTGCCGCTTCTACTTTGAAGAGCGAAGGCTAGCAGGAATCTACTGTCACGCACACGCATGACGACATTTTACTACCCGAAATTCTAGCCGTTTTACATCCAAGCCTCCCGGACGACAATGAATGCACTTTCATCGACGAATCCGCGGACAAAGGGTACAATAAAATTCGGAATGCATTAATTCGTGAGAAACAGAATTTCTACTGTGCCGGGCAATTGTGTACGAGACAGAGTTGGGCAAAAAGTAATATGATCGGTGATTCACGATTATAAAAATAGTAATTATGAATTATTATAACTAATTTGTTCGTTATTGGGTATATTAGTTGGACATGTGATTAGGGCGAGTTAGTTTTGTAAATTATTTTAAATTGGTTATAAGTTATTCTAAATTAGTTATACGATCACAACTCGTTAGTTATTATAAATTACTATAAATTAGTTATACGATTACAACTCGTTAGTTGCCATAAATTAGTTATACATTAGTTATAACAACCAACGATCATTTTTATTTGCACGTGCATTTGTGCACGGTTTATTTTATAAAATCAAAAGGTGATTCAATTTCTCAAGTGTGAGTAACACATGTAAATTAAAAATGATAAAAAATTCAGGAATTAAAAATTGGAAACAGTGATGAGAACTACATAACGATTCGACCGTGCCGAATCGAATGAAATCGTTTAACAGGGAAATTGAAGTTATTTTTCCGCGCCGTGTTATGTATATCGAAAACGTGTAAATGAATACCGTGTAAAAACAGCGTTGGGTGCACTTTTCTACCCGCGCAGTAGCTGTGCAAAAACGTGCAATAGAATAAATTCTGTTGCTCATTCTCGCGGCGGAACGGCGACAAAATAAAACAGGAAGGAAGGAGAATCCTCGGTCTTAGCGACAGCAAGGAAAGCCGTGTTTCCACTGTTAATTCCGCGAGATTAATTTCAATACGGGGGTGGGTGTTCCGCAAAGAATTCTCGCGAAAGGAGCGATAGTTTCGTCCCCCCGCTGCTGTTGGCAGCGGTCGGTAGCGAAATAGCGCATAAATCGCTAACGACGCACACTTTGTTACAAAAGCACGGCATCTACCCGGCCTGCCGCGCCCTCTCGCGCCCTCCCGCACCCTCTCGCGGCCCCGGCACCGTCGAGCCGCGACTTGATTTATCGTTCCAACGTGGACAATGCGAGAAATATTCTGGCGTGCTCGCTTCGTAAATCACGATTCTTCGGCAGTCCATAGAGCGCGGAGGAGCGATTCCTCGCCGGCGGAATATCACGCGAGCTTCTGGCAAATGTACACGCTCCGAGGGATAGATAGACGACGAAGGGAACGAAGGGTGGCCGGGGGGTGGCCGGAGGAAACGGGACACCAGGCAGGACCGAAGCGAAGCGACGCGACGCGACGCGACGCGACGGAGAGATACGACCGAATTGAGATACGTCGCGGGCCACATAAATCATCGGAATCGCGCTCGCGAATTTTGTGTTCTCAGCGTTCGCCCGAGAGACGCTGATCGGATTAATATTTCTTTGCGGGAACGAGCCGCGAACCGGGTGCCTTGTTTCCACGGAACCTCGACACCATTACCGTATTCCAGGGCCACCGGAAGATAAGGTCGGATTAGGCTATCTGGCAATCGGAAATTGTTCTGTTGCTCGGTTGGCTTTGTAGATTGCAATTAGTAGACTGCAGTCGTCGTCGGGGATTGTGATATCTCGAGAAGCATCTTGGGATGCCAACCATTTATAATCAATGGTACCTTAATGGTATTTCATTGCGGAGTTTTATGCAGAATTGAAATTATTCGCATCAAATAGCACTCTGTTTACCGGAAGCCAATTAACCGGTTTGCCGTTGCAATGTCTTTGAAGTGCGCGAGTTACTACAATTATACTGTATATATTTGATTTTCTTCATATTTTCTTTAATTACACGTACTTTTATCAGATATATAATTTAATAAAGAACATCGAAGTATACGTACGTCTTTCTTGAACAGTTGGCTGTTTTTGACGAGTATACTCGTCATGGAGAAATAACAAAATTTTGTGTTACAACGCGTAGGATCCCGGATCATTTGTACGGAAATAAAGCTCGATGATATTGTTTTAAATAATAATCTCGGAAGAAGTTGTTGCATTACAATAATCCAAACAATTTCTTGAATTACCGATGTGTAGACTACGGACTTCATGCATTTGCGATCAAAATTACCGGATGAAACACAAAAATGAAAACAAACAAAAATTGAAGGATATTGCTCTCCAATCTTTAATTTGTTAAAATGAATATAATAAAAGAAGCAGACTTTCACTTAATTTCTGTGCCTCATAATTGTGGTGGAAAGTTTTCATTCTGCACAGAACGCCGCATTTTATAAATAACAAAATGATCAATAGAATCGAATTTTCACTGTTGCATCGTCTTTTAAATAGTCCAAGATTTTTTATTAAAAAATGACACATAACAGTTCTCAAAAGCAACTACAACTTAAAACAGCGATTATAAGTCACCGGTCCATCTTTTCCCTTAAATCCATGCGACAGTAAATTTTCTAAATATATTTAAAGACTGTCTACTGTTAAAAAAAAGAGCTGTACAAAATCGTAAATCTCCAATTAAATGTAGCCGACGCAAATGTTCTGACGCATCAATTCCGAAATCTACCGCAACATGAAACGCGAGGGACGGCGTATAATATCCGATTTCGAATTCGATGGTCGTGAATTTGTTTTGGCTGCTGATGGAATCAAAATTACCTGGGATCGTATAACGATGCATTTGCGTATGCACAATAGCATTTTCGGGGGGCAGGTAACCACTGTCACGTGGATTCTGCGTAAGCAGATGTCACACGTCCGGTTGCTGAACATATCTACGTTAAAGTGCACGCAGCCTGACAGTTAATATAACTCGGCCCGTTCCTTATGATTACAGCTAGGAAAATGCATGAGAGAAAGGGACAAGAATACCGGGACGGAACGGTTCGGCCGGAGGACGGAGATAACCGAATCGAGATACGTTCTCGAGTACATAAATCATCGAAATTATATTCATACTCCATATCACTTTGAATTTCCATGTCGCCGCGCGGTCGTATCAGTGTCGTTATTCCGTGCAATGCGACAGGAAGAATGTGTGCCCTTTTAGAAATTATCGTCGATTATTCCTGTTGCATTCCGAATTTAATTATATTCCAAATTAAACCACAAAATCTTAATGCTATTTCAGAGGGACGATTTAACCGGTTAGCTGTTTTCGACGAGTATATTCGCCATGATGAAATGGCAGTATTTTGTGTTATGACGAGTGTATTCGTCGTGCGAAAAAATTGGCTGTTCAAATTGCAATTTTGGTGAGAATTAAAACATTTGAATACTTAAAGATCGAGACGAAGCAAAACGAACAAATAAAAAGATGTAACTAATTAGTATAAAAAGACCGTATATGCTGTGAACGGAGAACTATGCTTCGTGGGTCATCGCTAACTGGTTAATTGTGTGTTAAGGTGTCGTTAGATCTTACCAGTCGTTCTCTTTTGTATTATTTTCTCCTCGATGAGCGCCCTCACGCTGACAGATGCGGTCTGTAATGGCGGCCCGACAACCTCCTTCTTCTCACTCTTCTTGTTCTCTGCATCCTGGAATCGCAAATATAATTAAGAATATATAAAACATATTTTGTGATCTACAGGTTAAACTAAGATTGCTTTGATACATTATATCTCAGTTAGAAAGACACGATTGAGGACTTCATACAAATGAAAATTCTGCATCGATTATGAAAGACACGAAAAATTCAATAAAAATGTATTTCTTCTTTCAATAATTTTGTTAAATTGGAGAGAACGTAGCAGTATTCTGACGTAGCTTTTAATGCCTTTCCTATCGAATGCTTCACCTAATCATCCCTGTTATAAGTGCATAAAAACCGCAGTCTGACAATATTCGCAAAAACAAAAATTTCGATGAATCTACGACGAACCTAGAACTGTTTCTAAAACTGTATTCCTTACGTGCGAGCCTTTTTATTAGATCATTATGTATGAAATACAGGGATTTCATAGTAAAATTATAGAGTAAAGAATGCATTTCATACTTAACGAATGAAATATATGAAATAATTAGTACGCGCTTAGTAAGATAAGGAACGAAAAAGTAACGTGCCTAATGTGAAAAACTAATGTTTTATTTTAAATCATAATTTTCTATTGAAGCCACTTTTATTAAAGGTAGACACACGTTCATAAACCAAAATATGAATTCCTTTACAATCTTACTGGACGATGCAGAAAAAGAAACTTCTTCGTAACGAAGGAAAAACTGAAAGTATGCAAATTCATAGATTCGAAAGATGGTAGATCCTAATACGAGACCCAGTTCGGCATTTTCAGGAAATTTATTTAGGCAGTTTAATCGCAGAATCGTAAGTGGAATCTGGGGAAGATGGACAGCAGAATTCTCAGAATCTCAAAGATCTCGTTGAACCAGGAAACTCGGTTCGGTACTGCGAACAAAGCCGCGTTGCGTAATAGAGAGTTCTACTTGACCTCGTCTAGAATTCGCAAATTGTCTTGGACGCAATTGTACAGGTCTCGTTACTCGAAGATCAATTAGAATGGCAGCTCATGCTTAAAGCACCATAGAAGCGGCACGAGACGGCGCAAATCAGACATTTCTGTGAAGATGATAAGGGGGAAAGAGAGACGATAAAAGACGGATTAAGAACCGTGTGGCGGAGATCAAACGGTGGGATGAAAGAAAGTGGCAAACGACGTAAATGGTAATTTTCAATCCCTTGAGAAAATTCCTCGACACCTCGCCTCCCGCGTCGAATCTACGATGCTTTTATCCAATACACCTTTTCAATGTGATCTGCCCAATCGATCGGTGAAAAGGGTAACAAACATCTGGATTTCCTGGACATTGTGTTACGTACATCCTCGAGATCATAAATATGTGGACACGTCACTTTTAAGAAACGAGTGATGTGCAATATGAATTAATTAAACGATGTATGTCGGCAAATTTCGGATACATATTTAGTAACATCTAGCAGTATTAAATTGAGTGATTGAATTGTTCAAGTCCTTTAAGTAATTAAATTTCAATAGTTGAACAAATTCAATCATTTAGAGAGAGAATCTCAGAAAAAGTAACAAAAATTTTAAAGAAATTTATGGGAATTAATGCAAGCTAAATGGAATAATATTTCTTCGGATACGATAATGAAATTTACAGTCAAAATTAGTTACAAAGTAAGTACAAAAATCATAACAACATCCCTTAACGTAAAATTACTTGCACTGGGCAACTTAAAATCATTCATGTTACATAATTTGATACTTGAAATGTTTTGCTAATTTTTAACATTTTTTTAACATTTTTCAAATGTTTTTGCTTTCTCCGTACTCTAAATTACTGATGAATAAAATTTTACTAATGAAATATAGAACGAGTTAATAACATTTCCGAAAATTTCGATTCGAATGTAAACTATGCATGTGTGTAAAAATGTTAGAAAAACGACTAAAGTAAATGATAAAGTAACTACGCATTGACTGGAGTCAAAATTATCTTCACAATAAAATTTAGCCAGCGAACAATGCGTATGTTAGTTATGACTTACGCCGCTATGATGCTAAACCACTGAATTGTTTTCACAACGAACGAATTCTGGAACACATTCTATTCCCCTGTACAAAAATGTTAAAAACCGTTCCACGTTCAGCCGGAAACAATTTGGAGCTGCACTTGTCGAGGGGAATCGCGTTGAAATTTTCGTGACGAGGAGCCAACCTCGATCGGGAAAAAGATCACGAATTCGTTTGTTCCGATCGAGTTCAAGTTCGGCAACTAAAGATCCACGCGTAGAGCTAAAAATTCATGTGCAGAGCTAGAAATCGAATTTGCAGAGCTAAAAATTCAATTTGCAGATCCGTCGATCCGCCGTTCGATTAATTTCTCCGTCGTAGGACAGCGTTCCGAGAAGTCTCGCAGCGCCTTGTCCCGTTCATCACCGGCCATTTCGTTAATCGGAAACACGTCGCGCGCTGGACACACTCCGATCGGCTATCCGGTGTAGATTGGTGGTCCCGATGAAACGAAGGGTTAATTGTCCCAGGCTTCGAACGGCGCGCAGCGGTAATTAGCACGCGTCCGCGTCGGACGAGTATATATCTTCGTCCCCATTCGCGGATCCCCTTCGAGGAACCATGCATCACGGTTCCGTGAGCACGGGACTGGCCCCCGAACGACGACGCCGTCATCTTGATCAGCCCTTAATGGCGGGGTGGCACGGTAATCACTGATCGTGATCGTGCTCCCCAATTTCCTATCTGCTACTTCGATATGTAGCCACGCACCGACGTCCGTTTCTACGTCCTTCATACAATCGCCCCGGCAACACCGCCCGCCGTTTCTGTGTACGCGTGTGCGCGTGTGCGCGCGTGTATATATATATATATATATATATATATATATATATATATATATATATATATATCACCTCTCACGAAATTGAACTCTGTCTTTGACGTGGCGTACCGCGTTCGCTTCATGAATATTGATCGGCGGCCGTTAATGCGCGAAATTGATTGCGGAACGCTCGCCGGTTACGACTCATCAATTCGATTCGTGTCGATTCCAGCCCCCGGACTCGACGACATTCTTCCACAGTAATGCACGTGCAATTTCTTTTTCTGCTTTCGAACGTTTTCATTTGGAACGACGCGACCTCGCCCTCCCGCGTTCGCACCCATTTCCTCAATTGGTAAATTCCACGTAGCGGCGGGTACTGTGTCGGTCGATAATAGATGTGTTATCGTGAACGTCGTCGATTTATTGTTTTGAATCAGATTACCAGATCCATGGAGGCAAATACAGTGGATTTTACAGTGGAGTTAAATACAGTCCATTCATGTGTCTCATAATTATGTTAACATCCGGAAAGGGACGATTCCTCAGATCATTTGAAGCAACTTTTTCCTTAGCGAAAATGCAATCCGCGGCTTTCTTTACGAGTTATTAACGAAGAACAGTGACCAAATGAGAGGCGAGATCAGCTGCCGCGAGGTGGCCGAGCCAACGGCGCCAGCGGTCGAGCGGTCGAATCCCAACTCAGCTGGCGCGAGGCGGCCGAGCCAGCGGCGCCAGCGGTCGAGGCGGTCGAATCCCAACTCAGCTGGCGCGTGGCGGCCGAGCCAACGAACAGTCGAAGCTCAGTTCCGCTGATTCGCTCGGCCGCCTGGCGCTAGGCGAGCTCGCCTCTCATTGGTCAACATTTTTCGTTAATAACTCGTAAACGAAGCCGCGGATTGCATTTTTGCTAAGGAAAGTATTACTTCAAATGACCTCAGGAATCACCTCTTTCCGGGTGTTAACACAATTACGGTATGCTGTATACATCGAGAATAGTATATCTATATTATTAAATTTTGCTTGCGTCTTCACAATTTTATATTTCAGTTTCTTATTTTTGCAATAAATGCATGAAATCTGCAGTCTAGTTATAATACATCAATTACCTAGTATCCTTGTATTCTTTCCTTTCTCACCTCATCATCCTCCTTTCCTTTGCTATTATTTTTGTTTTATATTTTATTTTATTGTATTTATATTACAATGTATATAATATAATATAATGTATATAATGTCATATTTTTTTAGAAACAAAACTACCGAAAATATATAACGTAATAAGTTTAAATATAAATCTGACGAAAAATTTCACACACAAATAAAGCAATTTTGTTTTGGGTGAAATATGACTCGACTTTGGCTTTCGTGTGACCATTGAACCTTTAGTCACCCTACGGTTAAACGCGTGATTTATAAAAAGCAACCCCTATTCAATGAGTACTGTACACGATAAAAATTTGTTAGTAACACGAATCGATGGCGTTCATCAGCAACATTGTCTTTTTCATACACTTAACAGAAAGACTAGTTTGAAAATGCTTGGCAACGATTTTTCACTGTATTCATTTTTCTCCACGATATTTATTCGCGTGTCGTAACAAAATCGAAAAAAATAGGAAAGACCTTTTTCAAAAGATTCGTTGTTCACGGTGCTCGAGTGAAATGCTTTTTATCGATTAGCGACCGATTGACAACTCGCTGCACCGCGTTCCGTAGATAGAAACCGAATCGATTCTTTGGAAAACACGGTTCTGAATATCACTTTTTTCTCGCCTCACCCGAAAGGAAGAGAGCGAACGAACCAACTGTATTTATCCGAGGATTAAGCGTTAATCGGTTCCATTGGCGGACGGCCGGCATCGGCGACGCCGCAGCCCCGCGTTTTCAGCAAACGTTTCCGTTAACAAAATTTCGCTGCGGTTGAAACCAGTCCTGCGAGCATTTTTGTATTACTTGAAACGTCGACGAATCCCTTAATCCCCTTTTCCCGAGTAACGTCAGCCGACAAAACCTTAAACCGCTCTCGTCCGGCGCAACAATTTCCGACCAGGGGATTCAGACGCAGCTGCCAATTTCACCGACATATTCCTCGGATCGCGGCGCCCGGGCTTTCGACCAACCGAGCGCGTATCTGCGTGCTCGGTTTTTACGTTCCTACGTCGAGATGTCGACTTATAAACAATGAAAATCGAACTGCTGAAACCGCTTAATCTCGCGTGTT